TGCCCCGGCCCAGGTCGAAACCCCCCTTTGGTTTACGATGGAAAGGAATTTTAATGACCTGCAGGGGGGGCCGGGACGGGCTCCCTGATGACTACTACAAATCCCCCAAGACCTGGAGGGGGCCCGGTGGGAGACTCTAGAAAGGTTTACATTGCAGGGGGCCCCCCCCCATATACAAAACCCGGTTTTCAGTGGTTTCCCTGTTTAGTAGGGTTGCGGTTTAGTTTTTGGGGTTCATTATTTTTGGTGCTTTTTTCTGCAGCGCCGCCAAATTTTCAGCAGTTGATGAAACATTTCCCTCTACACAGTAGGCCTTTCTTCATCAAATACAAAGGGTTAGTAAAGAAAAAAAAGACGATTGGGAATCAGTCCTTTAACCTTTGGGGAAAAAAATATTTGAGGTTTGGGCGGCCCTCAGCCTGGAAAAAAAGTTTTAGCTCCCATGGTGGCAGTAGTGGTGGTGTTGGTTTTGTCTTTTGTAATAGTTGAAGTAATTGGCTAAAGAGTATTGGGGGTATTTGTTTCATATAGTTTGTAGTAAAGTGGGGATTTTGGGGGTGGGGTAGTAATGAAAATAGTAGTATAGGGAATTTGTAATATTTAAAAGTAGTTGTAGAAAAAAAGATTTATGGGAAAAAACAAAATAGCTTGGGTAAATCAATTTTCGAAAAATTTTATGGGGGCAGAAACCCTTTCCAAAACTGGTGGTAAAACTACAAAAGGCCCGTGTGTTGGGAACCCTTGGTACCAAAGGCCCCCCAAAAAGGTTCCCCCACTCGGGATATATTTTTTTACCCAAAGGAAAGGGTAGCATGGGCCCCCCTCACTTAAAAAATTAAATTCTTTGAGGAAAAAAAAAATTCTTCACCGGCATTGTTGGTGCAATTTTTGGGGGGTTTTTCTTTCCTACATTTTTTAGAGAACACAGTTCCCAAAGGGAGGGGGGTGGGGTCCGGAGTTGAAAACAGTTTTTTGAGTTACTGGAGTCGGAGTTGGTAAACGTAATTAAAAAAAGTCGGAGCCGGGGTTTTTTTCGTGTTTTAACTCAACAGCCCCCGGTTTTAAAAAGGGGCTCAGGCCCTTTCCCCGTATTTTTGATCCTTGGGGTGAAATTTTTATGGGCAGTGAAGGTTTTTCCCGATAAATTTTCCCCGTATTGCAGTTTTCCCCCTGCCTTGGGGGAAAAGGGGTTTGCAATGTGCAACAGTATTCCAGGCCCAGAGAGGGAAGATTGACCCTTTCACAACCCAAATATCACCCAGCTTGTTTTCTGTTATATTGAAGGTTCTAGGTTTTTGAAAAAATTTTTAAATTTTTTTTGCAACATTTGGGTTTTGATCCTTTGGGAAAGTAAAATCTCTTTCCCGGGTTTTAATTCTTGAATTTTTCCTTTGCATAGTACAGCCTTTCTCACTTAGCAAGTACTGTTTACGACGCCCAGATTTATTACGGACTCTCGACCAAATTTTTTTACCTAAAAAAATGTATACGCTTGGTTACGAAATGTTCGTAATGCCTTTGCGAAAAACCCCTCATTTATTCCCAAATTTTTGACCTTGAGAAGGAATATGACAAAAACTTGGAATATAATTTTTTTGCCCAACCCCACCCCTTTAGGCCTTTGAGGAAATTTCTACCACCCTTTCCCTTTAAAGATTTTTTAATTTACGGGCTTTTCCGTGTTGGGGGTTAATAATGTGTTTCCCCCCGGACTTTTCCAAGCTAAAAAGGTGCCCCCCGGGAGGGTTTTCCTAAAGCAAAACACTTTTTCCCCTTTTCCCTTTTAATGATTTGGCCTCAAGTCTTCCATCAAATTTTTGGGGCATCACTCTATTTTGGGATGACTTCGTTATTGCCTGGCGGGCGCTGACTGTCACCTCATTACAGTTTCTCTCCGCTGAGTCGACCGTGTTTCCAATTGGGCCCCCACACGTTTTTTAAAAATTTTTCCACCCACAAAAACCCACCAAATTATTTTCACTAGATGCTTTTTCATCTCCGTCATCCTTTTTCCCTCTATGGCTCCCCGTACCCCTTAGGGTTTTCAGTCCAATTTTCCCGGGCCTCCCCCTTTATCGTGGGGTTATCCTGGAAACCCCCACATTCCTCCCCTGAAGGCAACTTGCCCAAAGCCAGCTAAACCCTTCTTAAAACCCTTGTCATCTTTCTTTGGGGACTGATCGGAACCCCCTTCGCCTACTTTTCCCCCCTTTTTTTTATCGAAACTTGTTATGGTGCCAATTTTATTCACGGCATCTCCTGTTTACCTCTCTAGCCTTTCCCCCATTCATCCCCAAAGGATTACTTTTATCCCTTTGGGTTGTTTTTCACTCTTCCCCTGTCGAGACCCTCTATGCAAAACCCGAACGTTCACCCCTTATCCGATCCCCGGGAAATGCCCTTGCCTTCACTAAAATTTTCGCTTCTGATCCCCCCAAAATTTCCTTCCTTTTTTATAAAATTTAAATGATATTAGTAGAAAATTTTTATTTGTTCCCCCCCCGGCTTACCCCGCCCCTTTCCCTCCCCTTCCCCTTTTCATTCGCTCTTGTCTTCTCTTCAATTACCCCCTTTCTATGGGTTTATGTAGCACTCAAATTTTCCCTAACCCCCCCCGGGAAGTTCCAGCTGTTCGAGTCTGTTTTTTTTCTCTCCCTTGCTCGAAAAACCCAACTGTCTACGGTTTTCCCTTTCCCGCCCCCTCTTTTTCTTGACCCCCTTTCACTCCCCATTCTCATCCATTGCTGTTAACAGATGGCTCTAAGTCCCTTTGCGGCTTTGGAATTTGCGCATTTTTTCCGGACAGCGGGCGTACGAGGGCTTTACTATTTTCGGCTGGGATTTTTACTTCTGAAAATTTTATGCCATTCTTGACACTTATCCGTATTGCATCTATGCCCGTTTTCATCATTTGTGGTTTTCTCAGGGCTCCCTTTAAATGCTTTACCCGGGGTATCAGAAAATTTTATACACCTCACCCCCTTTGTCCTCCCATCCAAAATTTGGCTACGCCGCATCTTTACCCCAAACATAAAGATTTTTGTTTTTTGTTGGGTCCCCGTCAAGTTAACGTACAGGGCAATGAAAAGGCAGGGCACTGTGCGCGGTCACAGACATGACCTACCAGTTTTATATAGAGGTTTTTCCCTTTCGGAAATATTTTGGCTGCAGTACTTCCCCCCTTCACACCCGTTGGCAAAAACCGTTTTTCCCCACTATGGCCCGGGAACAAATTCAAACTATTAAACCAAATATAGGGGTTTCTGGCCCCTCTTTTTATCACCCGTGGCCAAAAGGGTTTGGGGGACTTTTCTCTTTCCCCTCTTGCATTTGGCCCTCCCCGTCTTAATCGTGGGTATCTCATGGAGAGGCCCCCGCTCCTCTCTGTGGGAATTGCCAAGCTCCATTATCAGTCAGCCACATTCTGTTGGACTGCCCACTTTATCAACGAGCACACAGAATTTACCTCCGTCGTCGTCTTCACTCCGCTGCTCTCTCTTTACCTTCCCGTCTCGCTGATGGACCCACCTTTCATCCAGACTCTCTCATTGACTTTTTGACAACAACTGACTTACTTCACAAATTCTGATACCTTCAGCCCTTTCTACTTCAATCTCTTGCTACCCTCTACCCCTGTACTATCCCCTGCCCCGCTGTTTTCTGTAACCTACTGATCATCCCTCCTCCCTTCTGCCATCCAATACCCTCGCTTCCTTCCCTACCCTGCAGCGCTGTATAGCCCTTGTGGCTTAGCACTTCTTTTTGATTATAATAATAATATCAACGTTTGGGTAGCATTGATAATGGGCTGGGCAAATATTTTTGTTAGTGGGTTTGAGAAGGACTTGCCTAGTATGGGTCAGTAGGTCTTCTGCAGTGTTCATCCTGTCCTGTGTAATGGTGCATAACACTGTCCCTGCGTGTATAACACATGAGAAAATTAAGACACATGTTCAACAGTTGGGGATCCTTATTGATGAAACGTTTCGCCTACACAGTAGCCTTCTTCAGTCAGATACATAGAGGACAAGAATAAGATGAAGAGTTTGAGGTAATCAGTCCCTCATTCTTTTCTGAAGATAGATGGACTGAACACATCAACTCCAGGCTGAGGGACTGATTACCTCAAATTCCTCCTCTTGTCTTTTCTATATTGGACTAAAGAAGCCACTGGCTGACAAAACGTTGCTTCAGTAAAGATCCCCAAATGCTGCCGCACAAGTGTCTTATTCTCCCACCAGCGTATACTTGACAGTTTGTTCTCAAAACATAAGTTACGATGAGGCCTTTCCACTAGTAATCTCAAGTTAAGTGAGTTGTGTAGTGGAGACATATTTTGTAAGTTGATTTGTGTATGGAGCATCATATTTTGTAAGTGAGTTTGTGTAAGTGGAGACATATTTTGTAAGTGAGTTTGTGTAGTGGAGACATTTTGTAAGTGAGTTTGTGTAGTGGAGACATATTTTGTAAGTGAGTTTGTGTAGTGGAGACATATTTTGTAAGTTTGTTGTAAGTGGAGAATATTTTGTAAGTGAGTTTGTGTAGTGGAGACATATTTTGTAAGTGAGTTTGTGTAGTGGAGACATATTTTGTAAGTGAGTTTGTGTAGTGGAGACATATTTTGTTAGTTTGTGTAGTGGAGACATATTTTGTAAGTGAGTTTGTGTAGTGGAGACATATTTTGTCCGCTGGGGAAAACTTTGTTTTTTTCTTTCGTAAAATGAAGAAAAGGTGACCTAAACCTGAAGTAAATGTGTGTGTGTGTGTGTGTGTGTCTGTGTGTGTGTGTGTCTGTCTGCTGGTGTCTGCCTGTCTGTCTTTTTGTCTTCACACTTCTCTACTACCATTTTGCCACTAGTGTATTTTGGTTAACTGATCTATACAGGTTTAGGACTTCCTGGCAATTAAAAAAAAAGACACCACGACATGCCAGTGAGCATGCATTCTCCATCATCATCATTATTATTATTATTAACACTGAGTCTGCATCGTGCCAACAGATGGACTGACGGAGGGGTTGATGCCCCGGCCCTCAGGTCGAACCCCGCTGGCTGACGATGAGGACTTCAATGACCTGCAGGAGGGCTCGGGACGACTCCCTGATGACTACTACAAGATCCTCCACGACCTGGAGGGGGCAGGTGGGAGACTCTAGAAAGATTCACATTGCAGGAGGGCCCCGCATATACAACACCCGTTCTCAGTGTTCCATGTTTATGTAGGCTTGCGGTTGAGTTGGTGTTCATTATGTTTGGTGCTTTTACTGCAGCGCCGCCATTATCAGCAGTTGATGAAACATTTCATCTACACAGTAGGCTTCTTCAGTCAAATACAAAGGTAGTAATGAAATAAAGACGATGTAATCAGTCCATCAACCTTGGAGAAAAAGTATTTGAGGTGGTCAGTCCCTCAGCCTGGAGAAAAGTTCAGCTCCATGGTGGCAGTAGTGGTGGTGATGGTAGTCTTAGTAATAGTAGAAGTAATAGTACTAAAGTAGTATTGGTGGTAGTAGTTTCAGTAGTAGTAGTAGTACAGTGGTATTGGTGGTGGTGGTAGTAATGATAATAGTAGTAATAGTAATATTAATAGTAGTTGTAGAAGACAGATTGATGAAAAAAGCAAAATAGCTTGATAAATCAACTCTCCGAATATCATGGGGTCAGAACCCATGCCAAGCTGGTGGTAAAACTATCAGGCCAGTGTGTTGTCCACTGTACCATGCCAGCCTAATAAGGTTCCTCCAGCTAGGTATATATCTCTACACACTAGGAAGGCTAGCATGGGCCCCACTCGCTTAAAGATGTAAGTTCTTGTGGAAAAAAAAAATCTCTCACTGGCTATAGTTGGTGTCAATTATGAGGAGTTTTTCTTACCTACATTTCAGAGAACACAGTTCAAGGCAGGGGTGTGGGTTTGGGGTTTTGGGAGTCGGAGGGTCGAAAGCGATTCTTGAGTTACTGGAGTCGGAGTTGGTAAAACGTAATTAAAGGAGTCGGAGCCGGAGGTTTTACGTGTCAACTCAACAGCCCTGGTTCAAGGGACTCTAGGCATTCCCTGTATTCTTGATCCTTGACTGAATTTATATGGGCAGTGAAGGTTCTCTAGATATTCTCCAGTATTGCAGTTCTTCTGCCTTGGAAAGGGTTGTGAATGTGCAGCAGTATTCCAGCCTAGAGAGAATGATTGACTTACACAACATTATCACTAGCTTGTTATCTGTTATATTGAAGGTTATAGTTATTGAAACTTTCAGTTTTCTTGCAACATTGTTGTGATCCTTGAATGTAAGATCTCTTCCAGATTTTAATTCTTGAATTTTTCCTTAGCTTAGTACAGCCTCTTCTCACTTAGCAACGTACTCGTTTACTGACGCCTCAGATTTATGACGGACTCTCTGACCATTATTTATACCTAAATAATGTATATTAGCGCTAAGTTCCTCTCTTCTGTTTATTTCAGTATACATTACACTACTGTATAAACATTTAAAAATATACCAGAAATATTATAAATGGTGCAAAGGTGACATTAAACGAATATCAAAGATGGTTGACACAAACCCACTACCATTATAGTATGCTCCTCACTTAGCGATGAATTCGTTTAACAACATGGTCTTAGGAATGGAATTCAGTTGTTAAATGAGGAGAGGCTGTACCTGATATTTGACCTTATTGAACATATCATTGTTTTCTGTGGCCCACTGGAAGACTTGGTTTATATTTTCTTGAAGATCTGAATACCACCCTCATACAAACTCTAATATTATCTCTAGTATTATGTCTATTATTATCTTCAATGTTATTGTCAATATCTTGTGAGTGTCACAATAATTTTATTATAGTAATGTAGTCACTATTATTTATAAATGTGAAAATAAGTCAAAATGTTTGTAAGTCTTGATATTGTGTTATTGTTTGCACACACAATGGTGTGATCATTGTTTTAGTGATGAGAAAACTGTCACCACTGTTGTCAGACTTCAAGACCTGTGTCTGTCATGTGGGGATGTCTTGATGCTGATGAAGGGCTTGGGATCCAAGGAATTGGGGGCCCCCCCATCCCTCCTTCAAATCAAATTATATTGCCTGCCATCTCTTAATGTATTACCCTTTAGGGTTTAGCACTTCTCCATGATAGGAACCCGTAACCGATGTGTGTCTTTTTTCAGGCTCCCGGGATGATGAGAGGAAAAACGAGAGGGACAACTGGGAGAACGAGACTCACCACCCCATATCAGCGGACTTTTGCACTTCACCTTGCAGAAAGTCTTGTCCACATGGGTACAAGGTATGCAGCACTTGTAGACAGGGCTGGATAAAGGCATGGGCTTTAGAGGCTGCAGCCCAGGAGACCTCCACCAGCTGGATGGCCTCTGCCAGCTGGAGGACCTCTGCCAACTGCTGGAGGGCCTTTGAAAGCTGAAGGGCCTCTGCAAGCTGGAGGGCCTCCACCAGCTGGAGGGCCTCCACCAGCTGGAGGGCCTCCACCAGCTGGAGGGCCTCCACCAGCTGGATGGCCTCCACCAGCTGGAGGGCCTCCACCAGCTGGACGGCCTTCACCAGCTGGACGGCCTCCACCAGCTGGACGGCCTCCAGTGATGTTCTCTACAATTTACTGATGTTTTGGAGAAATTTGTTTCCAAGAATTACACAAAGTAAATGTTTCAATTTTAATTCTTGTTAGCACCTGACAGTACCTGTAGCCCAGGACCTGACAGTACCTGTAGCCCAGGGACCTGACAGTACCTGTAGCCCAGGGACCTGACAGTACCTGTAGCCCAGGGACCTGACAGTACCTGTAGCCCAGGGACCTGACAGTACCTGTAGCCCAGGGGCCTGACAGTACCTGTAGCCCAGGGACCTGACAGTACCTGTAGCCCAGGGACCTGACAGTACCTGTAGCCCAGGGACCTGACAGTACCTGTAGCCCAGGGACCTGACAGTACCTGTAGCCCAGGGACCTGACAGTACCTGTAGCCCAGGGACCTGACAGTACCTGTAGCCCAGGGACCTGACAGTACCTGTAGCCCAGGGACCTGACAGTACCTGTAGCCCAGGGACCTGACAGTACCTGTAGCCCAAGGACCTGACAGTACCTGTAGCCCAGGGACCTGACAGTACCTGTAGCCCAGGGACCTGACAGTACCTGTAGCCCAGGGACCTGACAGTACCTGTACCCCAGGGACCTGACTACCTGTAGCCCAGGGACCTGACAGTACCTGTAGCCCAGGGACCTGACAGTACCTGTAGCTCAGGGACCTGACAGTACCTGTAGCCCAGGGACCTGACAGTACCTGTAGCCCAAAGACCTGACAGTACCTGTAGCCCAGGGACCTGACAGTACCTGTAGCCCAGGGACCTGACAGTACCTGTAGCCTAGGGACCTGACAGTACCTGTAGCCCAGGGCCCTGACTACCTATAGCCCACTGACCTGACAGTACCTGTAGCCCAGGGACCTGACAGAACCTGTAGCCCAGGGACATGATGGTACCTGTAACCCAGGGACCTGACAGTACCTGTAGCCCAGGGACCTGACAGTACCTGTAGCCCAGGGACCTGACAGTACCTGTAGCCCAGGGACCTGACAATACCTGTAGCCCAGGGACCTGACAGTACCTGTAGTCCAGGGACGTGATGGTACCTGTAGCCCAGGGACCTGACAGTACCTGTAGCCCAGGGACCTGACAGTACCTGTAGCCCAGGGACCTGACAGTACCTGTAGCCCAGGGACCTGACAGTACCTGTAGCCCAGGGACCTGACAGTACCTGTAGCCCAGGGACCTGACAGTACCTGTAGCCCAGGGACCTGACAGTACCTGTAGCCCAGGGACCTGAAAATACCTGTAGCCCAGGGACCTGACAATACCTGTAGCCCAGGGACCTGACAGTACCTGTAGCCCAGGGACCTGACAGTACCTGTAGCCCAGGGACCTGACAGTACCTGTAGCCCAGGGACCTGACAATACCTGTAGCCCAGGGACGTGATGGTACCTGTAGTCCAGGGACGTGATGGTACCTGTAGCCCAGGGACCTGACAGTACCTGTAGCCCAGGGACCTGACAGTACCTGTAGCCCAGGGACCTGACAGTACCTGTAGCCCAGGGACCTGACAGTACCTGTAGCCAGGGACCTGACAGTACCTGTAGCCCAGGGACCTGACAGTCCCTGTAGCCCAGGGACTTGACAGTACCTATAGCCCAGGTACCTGACAGAACCTGTAGCCCAGGGACATGATGATACCTGTATCCCAGGGACCTGACAGTACCTGTAGCCCAGGGACCTGACAGTACCTGTAGCCCAGGGACCTGACAGTACCTGTAGCCCAGGGACCTGACAGTACCTGTAGCCCAGGGACCTGACAGTACATGTAGCCCAGGGACCTGACAGTACCTGTAGCCCAGGGACCTGACTACCTGTAGTCCAGGGACCTGACAGTACCTGTAGCCCAGGGACCTGACAGTACCTGTAGCCCAGGGACCTGATGGTACCTGTAGCCCAGGGACCTGACAGTACCTGTAGCCCAGGGACCTGACAGTACCTGTAGCCCAGGGACCTGACAGTACCTGTAGCCCAGGGACCTGACAGTACCTGTAGCCCAGGGACCTGATAGTACCTGTTGCCCAGGGACCTGATAGTACCTGTAACCCTGTAGCATTTATTGTGGTGGAGGCCAAAAAGAAAAACTAGAAAAGCTAGATAGAGCGATTGATAAACAAGGGTTGAGGCTCGACTGTTCGTCACTGTAGGAGTTGCCAGCAGTCACCGGTTTCTTCAACACGCAAGTTATACTTTTGTATCAATCAAATAACATATTACTCGGGTAGAATTTTCCAGTAGATCCTTCATGTGTTAGCCCAAATCACCGACCAGTATGTTTTAAATAAGTGACCCACTGATCAGATCAGACTGGCTCCGAACCCTTGACTGGACTGAACCCTCGACTGGTCGAACCCTTGGCCGGTTTCAAATGGATTCGTTGGACAATAAAGCAGACTGTAAATGGATGGGGTTGTAGGCGCCCTTATAAACACAAACAATAAATATAAAACAAACTCCAGGAGCGTACTCCGGTAAGCTGTCCTGATATAAAAGTACAGTTAGAAATAGAAATACAGATAGCTAGAGCTTTACTTAAAGAGGTTATTAATAGAGTATTCAAGAGGTTGCTAGTAGAATTACAGTAAATCAACCATTCAAATCATTATGAAGCTGTGTGTAGTCTGCAATAAATCAAACAAACGGGCTTCCACATGGATAAATTGTCATTTTTGTGGAAATTGGTGTCATGCCCCTTGTGCAGATATCCAAGAACTAGCTACAAGCAGTATTAAAACAGGGAAGTGTTTTTGGGTATGCCCAAAGGAGATAAATCTGTGGACTAAAATCACAAGGGTATTAAAGAGGATAACATCAAAGCTGCTTTCATAGACAACCTGGAAGCTTTCTACAATAGATGGGAACATAAAAAGTCTGGGCTGAATGGTACTGCCCTTGATACTGGCCATGTAGTCAGAAACTGTAAGGCTGGAGGTGATGTCCTGGTAGTCAGTAAATGTGGGGCTGATAGTGCTGTCCTGGGAGACAGTAATGGTGAAGCTGGAGGTGCTGTCCTGGGAGACAGTAATGGTGAAGCTGGAGGTGCTGTCCTGGGAGACAGTAATGGTGAAGCTGGAGGTGCTGTCCTGGGAGACAGAAATGGTGAAGCTGGAGGTGCTGTCCTGGGAGACAGTAATGGTGAAGCTGGAGATGCTGTCCTGGGAGACAGTAATGGTGAAGTTGGAGATGCTGTCCTGGGAGACAGTAATGGTGAAGCTGGAGGTGTTGTCCTGGGAGACAGTAATGGTGAAGCTGGAGATTTTGTCCAGGTAGTCGGGAATTATACGCAGGAAGGAATACATATAAATGACCTCATAGGGGACAGGAGCTGTAGTGGGGAAACAAGTGTAGTCAAACATAAGATAAAACCAATATTGCAAACAAGAAATACAACAGGAAATAGCAAACAAGAGGACTCCACTAGCAATAGTGAGGATATATTACCAAAAACAACTGGTGGGAGCTCCATTGTTGGTGCTAGGGAAGATAGGAATAAGACAGGTAAACATGCACCAACAGGGAATACAGTCACAGAAACCCAAGGCAAACGGAAACCAAGCCTGTGCACATACTATGCACTTGGTATTTGCAGACATGGGAAATCTGGAAAAACAGATGGGACGTGCAACTATGACCACCCTAGAAAATGCCGTGCCCATATGACAACAGGAAAATGCAAACTCCCTTCCTGTAAGCTTTTTCACCCTGAAATGTGTACCTACGCAGTACAGGAAAGACTGTGCTATAACTTAAATTGCCAGGCACACCATCTAAAGGGGACAAAAAGATACAAAACATCCAGGCCATGGGAAAACCTGGGTAGCCACACCCACTCAAGAGGGAGAGGTTTTTTAGTGCCAGGAAGGAAAAAAAACTTGCAGGAAATGGCAGAAATTGTACACCAAATTCAGTCATTCCTGGAGTGGAACCACAGTCGATGGCCTCCACTCCAAACCAACAGATACAGATACTAATGCCGGAAAAAAAATCCCCCCTCCAGTACCAACAATACCACCAGTCCGATGACATTCTTCTTTGCAAATATACAGGGTCTAAAGCCAGCAACAAACAACAAAATACCTTTCATCCGTGGACTGCTTGCAGAGGCAAAGGCAATGTTCGCGGCTTTCACTGAGACCCACATAAAGGATCACTTAGACAACGAAATATGGATCCCAGGTTACAACCTATACAGATGTGACAGAGTGAACAGGCAAAAGGGGGGGGGGTTGGCCTGTACATTGCAGAGTCACTTGTTTGCACAGAACTGCTTAATGCCTCAAATGATGTAGTGGAAGTTTTAGCAGTAAAGGTCGAGAACCAAAACCTAGTCATTGTGGTAGTCTACAAGCCTCCGGATGCAACATCCCAGCAATTCCAGGAACAGCTGTTAAAAATTGACCACTGTCTGGAAAATCTTCCAGCTCCTGCACCCAACATCTTGCTCCTGGGGGATTTCAACTTAAGGCACCTAAAATGGAGGAATATAGCAAATAATATTGTTGCAGTAATAACACCAGGAGGCAGCTCTGATGAAAACTCACACTCACACGAGCTTTTAAATCTCTTTACAAAATTCAATTTAAACCAGCAAATAATAGAGCCTACTGGAATGGAGAATACACTAGACCTCATCTTCACTAACAATGATGATCTGATAAGAAATGTCACCATATCAAAAACAATATACT